TATATATATATATATATATATATATATATATATATAATAAAAATTAATTTTACTTGCTTTCTTTTATTTAATGTGGCTACCAGAAATATTAAAAATTCATACCTAGCTCACATTATATTTCTGTTGCACAGTGCTGGTTTAAGTCACTGAAAGTTTTGGAATATACTAACTATAGGGTCTAAAAGAAAAGAAGTTAGGCGGAGGCAGCAGCCCTCCTTTTCTGCTTTGATTCTCCACGGATGGGGTGCATTAAGAAAGCACGAGTGTTGTTCTTGGAGGAAGAAGGGTACATGGGGGTCAACCAGAGAGGCAGAGATTGGGAAGCACCTTGGCCACTGAGGAGGAACATAGCTCTCTAACTGGCTCCTCTGTCGATGCTAGATAGTGGCAGTCTTTTGCTGCCTCTAAGCTAACCCCTTTGCTGACACAGGAAAGTTTCTCTTGGCTTCTGAAGTTGTTATTTACCCAAGGTGAGAGAGGAAATCTCTTCTCCCATTTTTTATTTTCAGTGAGTCATAAGGGATGGTAATGAACCCATGGACAGGAGAAGTGTCTGATGGTTTGTAATAGGGCCAGATCGTAGTCACAGAAGCTGAATAAATTTATCAAGATGAGCAAGGAACATGGGTTTAGGCTTCGAAGCCTCCATGTCTTGAACTGAACTTCAGAAAGGTCTTCATGGCTAAAAGTGCACATGGAGCTCATAAAATCATACAAGTCAGTCCACCGTGGCTGAGAGTTTTAACCGCACACTTCCAAAGTAAAAGGGCTTAGCCCAGCGTCTGACTCAGAGAAGGTGCTCAGAATATGTTAGTTGCATTTCCTTCTTTTAGGTGGTTCCTGGGCCATTGTGACAAGTGCTCACTTGACAGGAGAGGTGGGACAAACATTTGCGTGAGCATGTGAAGGAACTTAGCCGTACTTGTTTCCATGTCTGTAATACGGAGGTATTGACAGTGCCCAGTGCTTGGAGTTCTGTAGGGATTTTTTTTAGAGTGAAAAAATAAGAAAGAAGTGATATGCCACATAGAAGAGCCTGATATGGTCTTTTAAATATCCCTGCAAAAAACAAAACAAACAAACAAAAAAAGTGCATTTAAGGGACACGGATAGAATGCTCCTGAGCAGAAATTCATGTTCTAATAATTGAGGAAGAGTTAAACA